AACCAATTCTGTGAATGTTTATTTAATAACCAATTCTGTCAATATCTATATCAAAAAATCAATTCTGTCAATATCTTTATTTAAAAACCAACTCTGTCAATATCTTTATTTAATAACCAATTCTGTCAATATCTATATCAAAAAATCAATTCTGTCAATATCTTTAATTAAAAACCAATTCTGTCAATATCTTTATTTAAAAACCAATTCTGTCAATATCTTTATTTAATAACCAATTCTGTCAATATCTTTATTTAACAATCAATTCTGTCAATATCCTTATTTAACATTCAGTTCTTTCAATAACTTAATTTTATACACAGTTCTGTCAATATGATTTTTAATAATCAATTCCGTCAATATATTTATTTAATAATCAGTTCTGTAAATATCTTTATTTATTAATCAATTCTGTAATAAACAATCCTGTCAATATCTTTATTTAATAACCAATTCTGTCAATATATTTATTTAATAAACACTTCTGTCAATATGCTAGTTTAAAAACCAATTCTGTCAATATCTTTATTTCACAATCAATTCTGTAATAACCAATTCTGTCAATATATTTATTTAAAAACTAAATCTGTCAACATCTTTATTTAAAAAACAATTCTGTCAATATCTTTATTTAGTAACAAGTTCTGTCAATATTTTTATTTAAAAACCAATTCTTTCAATATCTTTATTCAATAGCCAATTCTGCCAATATCTTTCTTTAATAATCTATTTTATCAATATCTTTATTTAATAACCAATCTGTCAATATCTTTTTTTAATAACCAATTCTGGCAATGTGTTTCTTTAAAAACCAATTCTGTCAATATATTTATTTAGTAACCAATTCTGTCAATATCTTTATTTAGTAATCAGTTCCACCAATATGATTGTTTAATAGTCAATTCCTGGTGATGGCGGTGACGGCGGACGATCCACGTAGCGAGGAGAAGCCCCGAGGCCGGACGGCGAGCTCTGTGCGATAAGGAAGGTGTGAGACATGACGATATTATTAATTAAAATATGATTAATTACTACATCATTATTATATTATTAAGTATTATCTGGTTATAATATTATTGTGTTTTTATTAACTATTTTATCATTATTGATAGCTACATCATGATTAATCACCGAATGATTATAAACTATTGTTATACTGTTTTTAACTATATCATTATACTATTACTTTCATATCGATAATTATAATGACTAATCATTATATCAATCGCCGATTAATCTGTTAATGCGTTAGTTAGATAATTCGACCGTATCGGTCATTAATATACGCATATGGGAACGTGTCAAGATCAACATGTGTATTATCCATTCGGTATTATCATCAATTAACATATCAATCATTAACTGATGTGTTAACGCACTCGCTTAATAATCAGAATGCGCTAATCAATAGAAATTAGAACGTGCTAATCAATAGTAGGTGCCCATAGGAAGATATCAACAAGTTAACAAGATATACACATGGAAATATATCCTAATTATTAAACGAAACCGTTATGACATCAATCGATAATCAATCATTAACTGTCAATAACTTAATGTATTCACTGAGTAGTTAGGATACGTTAATCAATAGTTTCTGCACATAGGAATAGATTAACTGATTATTAGTATACGTATAAACAGATATTCTCTAATCATTAAGTGAATGCATTAACTGAACACATCCATTAGTGATTAATTAACAATTAATCAACATATTGATTAACTCATGTGTTGATTTGATCATGTAATAATTAGAATATATTGACAAATAGCATGTGCATGTGCGGATATATCAAGATCAACACGTATATTACTAATTAATTGACCTATTAATATTAATTACTGTATTATTGTTATTATATTATTAATAAGTATCAATTAGTGTATTACTATTATATTATCAATTGATAAATTAATTATCAATTAGTTAATAGGTTGATGCATTCCTGAAATCATTGGAATATATTGATTGACAGGGTATCGATATAAGAATATGTGAATCGTTAATATACATATATGCAAATTCATTCCGATTACGAAACGAATGCATTGACGTGTTCATCGATAACTAATATGATAATAACTGAGGAATATGTCAGGGCCTTGTTTTAATAATTTGGATATATCAATCGAAACAGCCACATATTAAATCATCGATATACTGATTATTGATTAATCTGCTAATGTATATTTGATGATCAGAATATGTCAATCAATAGTGCGTTCGTGTGAAAACATATCAATCGATTGTTGATACACATGTGTGTCAATATTTTCTGATTTTTAAAATTAATGCTTTATGAACAGTAATTATCGATTCACGTGTTAACGGCCTCATTGAAGCGTTAAAATGTATTGATTAACGGCATATCGGGGTATAGCAACCTGTGAATCGTTAATATGCATGTATGCAAATATGTGCTAATTATCCAATGAACGCATCGATATGTTTAGTCGTAATTAACAGGTTAGTAATCAATTCATAGGCTGCTGCGTTGATTTAACGATGAGAACATATCAATGAATGTATCAGTAAATTTAATAATTAATCCATACATTATTAATTAAACAATCCGCTAACGTGATCACCTGATAATTAAAGTGCATTAATCGATAACTAATACGCAGATGTGCAAATATTCTAATTATTAAATTAACATGTTAATGGTTATATATTAATTAGCGTATTAATCAATAATTAACTAAAATTTTGATTTTTAATCGATGTGTTAATGTGTAGTCTTAATGACTCTAAAATCAATTGGCACATTAATCAATAATTAGTCGGCATATTGTTTTTTAATTAGTTACCGTGTTAAACGATATGCTAATACATGGATTTAATGATGATTGGGTATCAATTACCATATCGATCAGTAATCAATTAACATTCTGATTTTTAATCAACGCGCTAATGCAGTGTTGTGATAATTAGAATATTAATTAGCATATTAATCGATAATTGATCAGCCTGTTGATTGATTTAACTAATCACCACGTTAACGCACGGACTTATTAACGATTACAGTATCGATTTGCCGTGTATTTTTAGCCTATTGATGCGCGAATTTAATGGTGATTATATATAATATCGATTAGCATATTAATCAGCAATTGATTAGCATATTGATTGACTTTTAATCAATCTGCATGTTAACTCACCGATTTGATATCGATTAGAGTATCGATCAGCCGTCCATCCGTACTGTGGCATGCGCACACGCACTCCGGGCCAGCCTCGGCTACACAGCCTACCTGTGGGGAATGGTGGGACACGTGAGCCCAGGTTAACCCGGGACACAGATTTAACCTCAGATCATTGATTTCACGGATTTAATCACAGATCATTGATTAGATTTATTAATAACGAGTCTGAATACGAGATATACACAACGATGAAATACGCAGCGAGACTCGGAGACGACTTCCGTCCGTCAGTATCTTTATTTGATAATCAATCCCGTCAATACCTTTATTTGATAATCAATTTTGTAATAACCAATTCTGTCGATATCTTTATTTAATAATCAATTCTGTGAGTATCTTTATTTAAAAACAAATTCTGCCAATATCTTTATTTAATAA